TGCAAGCCCCAGGCTCCTCCCCCAGCAGACGCTTGCAGAAGGCTCAGCTGGGGGCTTCCGGGATCTTCCAGATCTTCCCAGGTGCACATTCATGGCTTCCGGGACCGTCACCCACCCCTGAGTCTCCAGGTCCTACTGGAAAGTGGATCCGCTCCAGGTCCGGGCGAGCTTTCAGGCAGGGACTGCCTGGGCAGGTGCGGGCAACCTCTGTGTGCGGCAGCCCGCGTGTCGGCACGGCCGGCCCGTCTGCTCCTGGAGACCCGGCGCCGCTGCTCTCCTCTGCTCCGGCCCCTCCTGCGCTCGGCGCCAGGACACCAGCTGTGTGCGGGGCCCTTGCTCTGGGCAACCATCCTACAGCCTTTTGTAGGCCAGACACCCCTGGAGGGCGGGCACCAGGATGCTTCACCTCCTGGGCAGAGTCAAGCAAGGCAGGTGCCTCTGGTCGTGGGGGAGAACACTGGGTGCCCCAGCAGGCTCACTCCCGGTGAGGGCTCCCTTCCCGACTTGCAGACTGCGCCTTCTCGAGCTCCTTCCGTGACGGCTCTCTGGGGCCCTTTTAGAGGGGCCCCGACCCCATTCCACGGGGGCTCCACCCTTGTGACCTCATCACCTCCAAAGGCCCCGCCTCCTAACACTGTCACTCTGGGGAGAGGAGTCCAGCGTATGGACTCTGGGAGTGAGGGGAGGCTTGCAGGGAAAAGACTAAATCTCAAGAGCAGAGTAGGAGTGAGTCAGGCAAGGAGGTGCCTGGGGGGTCCACAGGGTGGGAGAGGAGCAACCTACGCCTGAGCAAGGGCGTGGCATAATCAGCAACTGCCGGAGAAGTTCAGTACGCTGGACAGAGTTGGGGGGGGATGAAGGGACAGGAGGATGAGAGAGGAGGATGGGATGGAGCCACGCTAAGGAATCGATACTACGTCCTGAGAGCACTGGATGGACCTAAAACCAGAAGGGATATTATGACAATGGGGAGCATTTGAAAAAGGTTTTGAAGGATGAGTAGGAGTTCCCAAAAGGGAAGCTATGAGTCTTAACATTCCAGGAAGAGGAGGCAGAATGAATAAAAATGGAAGTACATAAAAGAGCATGAGGTCTTGAGAGGGACTGGGGTTAGGGGGCTGGGTCACAGAGAACCTTGCAGAAAACAGCTGAGGGAGGAGGTTAGTGAAGGACAGTGAGTGCCAGGTGTTGCAGCCTGGGTTCCACCTGAGGGCAGCGGGCAGTGGGCAGAGGTGTCCGTGGGGTGGGACATTTCAGCCCAAGTTACATTATATGCTCGTCCTTGTGCATTAGAAAGATGAGGCTGGAGGCCACCTGGGAAATGAACTTGAGAGGCCGTGAGACTGGGAGGGGGTCGGAGGGAGGCATGGTACAATGGCCTGGAGAGATGAAAAGGCCAAACACACATTTAAATGTGCATCTTCATGTTTATTTTTTTTCTTTTTGTTTATTAATTTTATCTTATTTAGAGACAAGGTCTTGATATGTTTCCCAGGCTGGACTCCAACTCCTGGCCTCAAGTGATCCTCCTGCCTCAGCCTCCCACGTAGCTGGGACTATAGGCACACTCCACCACGCCCGGTGATTTTTTTTTTCCCTTAATCACCAAAGTAACAAAGAAAAAAAAAAATACCAGAAGAAAATCAAAATATCCCATAGTTTTCCCACCAAGCAGTAACTGCTGTTGACGGGTCGTTGCCGATCGTTCCAGCCTCTGGTCCCGGGAGTGATGCCCATTCTCACAACACCGGGACTGCACCGAACCCACATGCCCATAACCCACTGGTTCACTTAATATACGCTGAAAATTGGACCCACATTTCATGATATTCCCCCACGAAAATACCATCACTCACTGCCTGTGCCCAGCACCCGTGACATCTGTGCATCTTGTCTGCTGCCGTCCCTGTCTCCCGTCTCAGCTGCATCCCTCCTGACAGGCGTGACCACCTTCCCCACAGCCTCGGGGTCTCCAGGTTTGTGCATCCTCCCCAGAAGTCTCCGCACCTGCTGTTCCCCTGCGTGGAAGGCTTTTCCCTGCTCTGTTGCAGGGCTGGCTCCCTCTCCTCTTACCTGCTGGAGTTTAGGGCCCCAGCCAGGCCCACCAGGTGGGCTCCCCTCCCCCAGCCAGCTGCTGCTCTGACTCCAAACCCCGCCCCTTCCTGCCCCGCCCAGACTGAGCTCAGGAAGCCAAACCTGCCCGGTGGGGGGTGGGGACAGTGCTGGTCCCAGCCAGGACCCTGGGGAGATGTTTGAGTCAGGGGATGAACGGAACGAGTATTTTTCTTTTTTTCTTTCGGATTTTAAAGAGCTGTCTATCCTGAAGTTCTCTTTAATGTTTTTTAAAAAGCCTCATTTGCCTGCTTTCCTGGGGTAATTTCCAGTCAATCTCCCTGCAGCCACCAGCCCATGTGTACCTCCTCCTCTGCCGTTGTCTCTTCCCTCTCTCTCTCTGTCTCCCCTCTCTCCCCATCTCTGTCCTCCCTCTCTCTCCCCCTCCTTTTCTGACTCCCCCTCCGCTCCCTGTGTCCCTGTACCCCTCCTGGAGAGCCACCCCCTTACTGAGGCTCTGGGACCCTGCCTGGTGACAACGGTGTCAGGGCCCCAGAAGGGACAGCTGAGGCTGCAGCAGCCCCCTGGGGCCCTCACCCTCCCTGCCTGTCACTCCGGCCTCTGGGGTCCCCACCGACACCCCACTCAGGGGCGACCACAGCCTGTCCTCTCTGGCAGGGCTGTCTGGCAAGCGCAGACTGGAATCTGCGCCCCTCTGAGAAACAGACACGATCAGCGATTTGGCCAGAATACTACAGGACACCTGAGCCGCCCCGCATGGCGTGATTAGGAGACGAGAGTGTGAACGTGAGCAATTAACTCCAGTAACTGTCTCTAAAGCAAGGGCGATGGAAACTCCTGCATGTAAGATGAACTCTCCAAGGGAAGAGGGCCCCCGCAGAGCCGGGGGTCCCAGGGTCCGACCGTGCCAGAGATGCTCCGGAAGCCGTCTGCACGCAGGGCCACCTCTGTGCAGTCACAGCAAAACCACCGAGCAGAACATTCTGTTCCAATCGCCTGGCCTGGCCGCACCTGAAGTCCCAGCCCAGCACCGAGGGGACAGTCTGGCCGACACAGGCAGGACCGGGTGGCAGGGCGTCTCGCCTGTGTCCTCGGAGACACGGCCCGGATCCCGGAGCCTGACTGGGAAATCGGAGCAACGTGTTAATTCATCACGGCCCAGAGCCAGCGCCACTTGGCCACCGGCGCTGGCAGGCACAAAAGACGCTGTGTTCCGGACCTCGACTGCAGGCTGGCGGGGCTGGCAGCCACCTGGAGGCCACTCAGACCCCTGCTGGGGTCAGGACAGTTTCCTTCCCTTTCCCTGGGAGTGTCAGGCCCCTCAGGTGAGGGGCCCGTGGGTCACGTGACTCGCGGCTGCAGCCCGGTGTCAGGTCCCTGCAGACGGCTGTTCTGGACACGCCCCGACACCCAGGGGAAGGAGAGGCGTGAGCTGCAGTCCAGCCTGTCCCCCTGGATGGGGGTGGTGCCGTGTAGCCCCCCCCCCCAAGATGGCCCTGACACTGCCCTGGGAGCCCAAGGGCACGGCTGCAGCCCTGACAGACGTTCTGATGTCTGTGTCAGCCGGTCTGTCTCCTGCCCGCCAGGGAGCACGGCGCTGACGCTTCCTACAGCCTCAGCTGCCCTCTCTCCAGACGCCCGCTGTGCAGCCGGCACAGGGAGTCAGATGCCGTTCCCCAGGCGAGGCCACACGCGGCGGGCCCCCGCCGCGGTACACAGAGCACCTGCCTCCACAGAGCCTTCACACTGGGTAGCTGTGCTGTCTCCGTCCCCGCAGGGCTCAGCGGGGCCCGTGGGACAGCGGTTCGTTTGCAGCCAGCAGAATGTAATTTCCTGGTTCGGAGGCCCGAGCCCCGGGCTGAGCATCCGTCCTGGGCGCTCTGCGAGGCTGCCAACGGCTGCGCTGGGCTGACGGCCTGGCGGCCCGGAGGGAGCTCGAGGAGGGAGCTCAAGGAGGGAGCTCGAGGAGGGAGCTCGAGGAGGGAGCTCAAGGAGGGAGCTCAAGGAGGGAGCTCGAGGAGGGAGCTCGAGGAGGGAGCTCGAGGAGGGAGCTCGAGGAGGGAGCTCAAGGAGGGAGCTCAAGCGGCTGTTCCGCAGCGGAGGCGCAGAGCAGAGCTACGCGGGGCCCCTTCCTCCGAGAGCCGAGGGAGGGCGAGGGTGCCCGGCCAGCCCGCCAGCCACCTGGCCCTCCCTGGGCTGGGGAGCGATGCCCACACCCGCAACCATCGCTGCCCCGGGAGGGCAAACTCAGCCCAGCATTAGCTTAACGGATCACGATTAGGAAGGCAGACTCGCTGCAAACAGCCGTGTGATGGACTTCAAATCCAGCTGTAACTGACTTTCGGATCGCCCACTGCTGGGATACGGCGAGCTATTGCCTTCCTCCCTCTGTGCAGACGGCTCAGACCCCAGAACGACACCCCTCTCCCCTGCAGGGCTGCCCGTCTACCTCTGCCTCTCCTCTCCCTCCTTCCTCTCCTACTCACCCTCCTCATGCTCCCCAGCGCCCGGCGGGTCACAAACACACCGATCCCCGCCCCAAAGTCTTCGTGCTCCGGCCCCAGCCTGCTTAACCTCGAGGCCAGGCTCTGAGCCAGACCCCGCAGGACCCCGAGCCTCCACCTCCCCGCCTGGCAGCTCCCGGCCCCCCGGAGGGAAAGAGCCGGGCCGCCCAGCCAGGAGGAGCCAGCACACACCCACCGTGAGTCAGCCGCCATCAAACACTGCTAAATCTCGATCCCATGAAGAATTACGAACCTGGCAGAGGCTGCGGGTGGCACTTGGGGAGGCCCGGCATGGGAGGAACGTGGCAAAGACTCGTGGCCGGCAGACAAGGGCCTCTCGTCCGTGTGCAGAGAGCCGCGTGGGAGACAGCGGTGGTCGTGAGGATCGGCACTCCCAGCCCTGGGGGGTGCGGGGGCCCCCACCGGTGCCCTCGACCCCTTACGGAGGTAAGGTCTGTTCTTTGGGGTTGGCCACGGGCTACACCACCAATGTCAGCCGGGGTCTTCTTGCCCTTTCCGGTGTAGACAGAATGAACCCGTCAAGCTGGTGTTGGAGTCCGACACCCTCCCCTCGGATGACTCAGAGCCAAAGGTGAGACCCCCACTACCTCGGAACCCAACTTCCTTCTCCTTTCTCTTCTGTTTCTCACCCACCCCAAATTCCTGACCCTTTCTAAGGACTCTCCTCTCGCTGGGCCTCAGAAACGCACCTTCCACACGCGGCAACTCGTTCGGGCATTTTCCCCAGTAAAGACCGTTCCCTCCCGGAGAAGAATTCTGCTGCCAACTGCAAACGCACCTCAATGTACAAGCGGGGCAACAGTCTGATAAACCCATTGTGCGTTGAAACCACCATAAATCGAAAATGTGTGTAGCAAACCTAACCTACCACACATCACAGCCTGGCCCGGCCTGCCTCGAACACGCTTATACACTTGCATTAGGCTGCGGTGAGCAAATTCATCCAACACAGAGCCTGTTTTATAATAAAGCGCTGACTATCTCGTGTAATTTATTGAGTGCTGCAGCGAAAGTGAGAAGAACAGTCGTGTGGCTACTTAACATTAATGTACACGGCTGAAAGCACCATCTTCAAGTCAAAAAATCATCATTCAAACCATCATAACTCAGGAACCGTCTGTAGACAGAGGTTTCCCGTAAGGAATCTGCTCGTGCGGCCACAGAGGCTGCAGCCCACCCTGCACGGGGGGCCACACCCCTCGGCCCCCCACTGCAGCTGCTCTTCCCGGACACCCGGCCCGAGCTGGTCCCCCTGGGACTCTCAAGAACCAGGGCTCCAATGCTGGGAGCTGGCGTTGTTGGTAAGTTGGGCCCCATAGACTCAGGGCTCAGAAAAGCCAAGAGAAAAGACGGTCCCACTGCAGGAGGAAACCTGTCTCCTTCCAGCCGCGGAAGGTTCCGGCTCCGCCGGCGTGCGTGCTGCCTGCCCCTGGCCGAGGCTAACTGGACGGGCTGCCCAGGTCCTGCATCTGCCCTCCAGGGCCTGCAACCCTCCGCGGCATCTTCCTGCTCCAGCCGGCTTTCCTGGAGGGGCCAGACGTCTTTGTGTTTACATCAGAAAGTAGATTTTATACCATGCGGGGCACACATGCATGCACATGTGTGTGTACACACACACATACACACACATGCACCCTGAGCCACACAAACAGTCCTATCAATGTGGGCTCATCTGCCGCTTCCAAATGAACCCCACCTGGAAGCCAAGGCCTTCCGTGATGCCAGGAAAGGAATGCTCCTGGTGCCCGCAGTTGCTGGCTGCGTTTTCCCTGCCACGTCCCCACCGCCTCTGTCACCCAGCGACAATCCCTGGAGGCCAGCCCCTGCTCTCACGTGTGACCCTCAGACCCGAGGAGAAAAAGAATCAGGTCTGACTCGTCGGGGAGGCCCCTGGAGGCCGGGACCCAGGTTCCAGTCATGGGGGGTCAGCACCTCTCCCCTGACCCTAAAGCCTCCTGCACCAGAGCCAGGTGGTCCCCCAGGCCCTCGCCCATCCCCAGGGGCCTCCAGCGTGGGTGACTCTGCTGCACTGCAGGGGCTCTGGTGGCAGCAAAACTGTCCAGCCCAGGCTGGCGGGAAATCACAGAGACCGGCCACGACCGGCCAGGGTGGTGGCCTGGCTGGGCCCAGCAAGGACGAAACAGTCGCTCCTGGCCACACCCTGCCCAGCGGCCAGAGGCACCAGGTGTCAAAGGGGTGGGAAGAAGGGGCCTGAGGACCCCACTCTCTTTTCCACCCTCCCAGCAACCCCGGGGGGCAGATGAGGGATTACCAGGTGGAAACTGAGGCCCAGGAAGGTTCTACGTCCACCTGTGCCCTGAATCAGGGGTCCTGGTTTCTGACTCTGGGCTGCTGTGTGAAACCAGGGGTCCTGCGGGATCCCGCACTGATCTCAGACAGGCGTCAGGGTGGAGCTGCCGGCAGCGGGACTGCAGCCCCCTGGTGCCTGCGGCGTCAGGGTGTGGGGGACCCACGCATCTGGTGGAGGAAGCGCTCTGTGTTGAGCGGTGAGAGTAGAGTAGGAGAAAAGACACTGTTCCGTTTATTTTCCTACTAGACACAACCCAAGGCCTCCCGGGAATGTTCCAGAGAGGGTCCCCGCCACTGTCCTGAACTGAGCCACGGGACACGCTGTGGCCCTGCTCAGAAGCACAAGCCTGTCCCCACAGCAGCCCCAACCCCGTCCAGCGTAGACTGCGGAAGCTAGAGGGACAACGGCCAGTGTCCCTGTGAGGCCTGCTGTCCGAGCCAGGGCTGGGATGACTCATTCACTCGGGGCTGGCATGGGCTCCCCTGGCCCTCGTCCCTGCTCCTCCTGGGCTGGACAGAGGACACCAGGCCTGAGCCTCCGCCCGCTCTGCCCTTTCTTCTCTGGCTGCAAACAGGCCCTGCCGGTCATTGGGCCCCACCCTGCCCTGCAGGGGTGTCCCGGGGCGGCCGGGGCAAAGCCTCTCAGACCCAGTGTCTTGAGCAACAAGAATTTCCTCTCCCACAGTTCCAGGGGCTGGAGGTCCAAGATCAAGGTGTCGGCTGCCCTCCCTGGGAAGGCATTAGGGGAAGAAGAATCCTTTCTCCCTCTCCCAGCTTCCGGTGGGGGCTGGCAGTCTTGGCGTTCCGTGACCTGCAGCTGCATCACTCCCATCTCTGGCTCCGTCGTCACATGGGCTCCTCCTCTCCCCAAATCTTCTTATGAGGACACCAGTCACTGGATGGAGGGCCCACCCTGAGAACCTCATCATAACTCGGTTACATCTGCAAAGACCCTACTTCCAAATAAGGTCCCATTTGCAGGTGCTGAGGGTCGGGACTTCACGTGCCTTTCTGGCAGACACGATTGAGCCCGCGACGCTGTGTGTGTTGATGACTCCAACACGTCTGAGACCCAGCCCTGCCCTTCAGCACTCAGGTGAAGGGGAACAGCACAGCCAATCCCGCCCTGGGTGAGATCGAGGACTGGGGGAGGTCAGGGGAGAGGGGCGCTCGGGGCTGGAACAGGCCGCCTGCTTGGCTGCCACTGACACGCAGCAAGGCTCGCATGGGTGGGCGCAGGTCTGTGCCCTGCTGGGGTCCACTCAGGCCATGGGCTCTGGCTCATAAGCACACTGCAACACATTTGCATCAGTACGGTGGAATTCCGCTCAGCGGTGAAAAGGAGTGAACTATGGATGCACAGACAGCCTGGAGGACTCTCCAAGGTCTTGCTGCGTGGGGAAGCTGGTCTCAAGAGGCAACACGCTGCCTGATTCCACATATACGACAGGCTCCAAAATACAAAACCGCGTGGACAGAGAACAGAGCAGTGACCCCCAGGCAGGGGGTGAGGGGAGGCGCTGCAGAGGGGCGCACGAGGGGGGCTGGGGGGGGTTGACGGAGCTGCCTTGCACCCTGATCGAGGTGGTGGCTGCACGAACCTACACATGGGTTAACATTCACGGAACTGTTTACTAAAAAGAAGTCAATTTTACCGTACCTTAATTTTTTTTAATTTCGTAAGAGGAAGGATGAATTCATTTTGTTTTTAATTTTCTCTCCCCCGAGAAGAATCCTACGCCCAGCCGTTAGGAGCACCTTTTGTCTCCTTGGTCATCAGTTTCTCCTTTGGCATCTGCAAGGGGGGGACGGGGACGCGGATATGGTCATCAAACCAACCGCCTGGGGAGGCCCCTGCCTGGGGAGTCTGGGCCAGGACCCGCCTGGCTCCGTTAGGGCCCTAAGACGCCGGTTTTCTCCAGCTGAGTTGGCCGCACCTGTGGGCCCTCCTCGGAGTCTGGACGTGGAGGGTCGGGAGCCAAGCACCCGGACACCCTCGCGGGGCCCTGGGAACTCGGCAGGGAAGGGGCCACGACAACGCAGGGACGGAGCTTTGATCGCGCCTCTCTCTGCGTGCTGGGAGCCACCCCTCCACCCTCCAACGGCGGTGGCCTCCGGGAGGGGGCGGGGCGGCCACACGTCCCGAGAAATAGCTTCGCCGGCAGCTGTTTCTAACGCTGACTTTTCAGATATCCCCAAGGCCAAGCTCCGGTTTGATTAAACTCCTTTCTTTTACTTTCTTCTCCGCCCGAGCCCATCTTTCCGAGGCAACATAATAAAGCGCAGCGAACGGTTTCGATCGCTCGCAGGAAAATGATTTTCCCAACAAGGGCTGAGGGCGATTTCGGTTCACCGGGTCCCTGAACCCATTTGCTGGACTTGAGAGGTCTTTCTCGAGATCAAAGTACTTTAAAGTATTTTTTGAGGCTGACGTATTTCCACCTCCCCCTAGATCTGAGATCTGTGGAACTGCAGAGATGCGTGTCGTCATGATAAACACGGGCTTTGCGGCCGTCGTCTCCAGGGGACATGAGGCTGCGCCGGCCCTTCCCACAGCGTCGAAGACGCAAACAAGCAGCCCGAGCTGCACCGACGGACGGGCCCTGGCATGTTCCCGGAGGGCAGCCTGCGTCCGAGGCCACCGAGGCAATGGGCGTCTCCACCCAGAACAGTAGCCCAGGCCGGGCGCGGTGGCTCACGCCTGCAATCCTAGCACTCTGGGAGGCCAAGGAGGGCGGATCGCTCAAGGTCAGGAGTTCGAAACCAGCCTGAGCAAGAGTGAGACCCCGTCTCTACTAAGAATAGAAAGAAACTAATTGGCCAGCTAAAAATATATATACAAAAAATTAGCCGGGCATGGTGGCGCATGCCTGTAGTCCCAGCTACCCGGGAGGCTGAGGCAGGAGGATGGCTTGAGCCCAGGAGTTTGAGGTTGCTGTGAGCTAGGCTGACGCCATTGCACTCACTCTAGCCCGGGCAACAGAGTGAGACTCTGTCTCAAAAAAAATAAATAAATAAAAAAAGAACGGTAGCCTGGAGATTGTGGATTATCTCAGACAGCGAGGCCCCGTTCCAGAGGTGGGAGCACGCATGGCGGGGAGGCAGCGGTGCCCCAGGGACGAGGGAAGGAGGTTCTGGACCACTCACTGCTCCAGCCTCTGGCCCCTGCTTCACTTCCAGAACCATCTCCCGCCAGCCTGCCCTCCGTAGCACCCCGATGCTCTCTCCACAGCACAGGTGTGATCTTAAAAACTCAGCAGTGCCCATGGTCCCCAAGGAGAAGACCAAAGGGCAGGCTGTCCTCACCCCCCAGCGCCTCTTGCTCTGTCCTCTCCGCACACGCTCCGTGCCCGGCCCTGCCCAGCACGCCTCCCACCCCCGAACACGGCTGCGCCCACGGCCATGCCCCACACGGCAGCTCCTTCTGCCCCACACGTCTCCCACGCCCTCCCCAGACTTCCCTGCCACGATGACTTTGCCCTCGTCTGTCTTCTCCCAACCATGTGGCATTCTAAATATTTGCTCTTATATTAACATCTTGCGTGTCTTTCCCCCCAGCTACACTGGGAGCTCCTTGGGGAGCTCCAAAACCACGCCTCTGCATCCC